AAAGTTTGAGATAGTTGCCTCCTAGTTTTCTGTTCCGAAATTTGGCAGGCTGATTGGTGCTCTCTGGGTGGATCTCGGGTGTTTGAATGCTATTTGGTTCGGCCATTCCACATCCACAATCTTCTCCCCTCGCTAATCCCTCTGGAATAGTTTGCATTTTTTGACGTATCCAATTTAAAAGGCATAATCGAGTTCGCCTGCTGCATGCCTTTTTATTCGGTCTCTGCATTTCCTTATTACGATTCACGACCGTTGATTATGCGTATTTGACGCACTTTTCCCTTACCCATTTCTCCGACCTCCAATCCTACCTCTTCAGATTATCGGGTGCCTTGTAGTAAATTTAAAAGCTTTTTCTTCTCACAGAGTCTGCACACACACATAAAAGAAACTCGCTCACATTCCATGGGAATTTTGCCTTGTGTTGTACAGGTGCACATTGCGCAGATGTGAAAGGCAGTTGCGCTCTGCTCTCGCCCCCACCCGGGGGAGGAGGGATCCAAATGTTGATGTGTATATATATTTTTTGTTTATTTACATTTTTTCTCACATGTACATATTTTACCTGAATTTATGTGTCTATTGGCATTAATTATATATGTGTATTATGTGTGCTACATATAATATATATGCATATATATATATATATTTCAATTTGCTTAATTTCTGTCTCCCTCTCTCTTACTCCACTCCCACCCCTTGCTCTCTCTTCTCTCGTGTGTTTATGTGCAGCTGCTAAAATGAGTTTTATGACACAAACACCCATTCAATAATGATGGTTACTACTGTGATCGCGGCATATATTCATTCTTTTTATGTTATTTTTTTATTACTCGTGAATAGCGGTGAAGGTGGGGGTTCCTGTTGGTGTGATTTCGCCTTGCGTCTGAGCTTCTTTAGGAGGTGCAATAAGCTTTGTGTGGGAGCCGAGAGACTGGCTAGTCGGTTAACTTAGATGGGATAAGTAGGACCTACCAAAACATCTTGCTGCTTCCTTCTAGCTCCATTCCTCTGCGTGCCTCTGCTTAACGTCGATTTAGGCCTGTTGGGCGTAGATTTCGGTCTACTACTCATGTTGAATAAATAGCATTTTGTGTGGTCTCCAATATTTCAGTGGCCCGAAGTCATCGTTTTCCTCCCTTTCTAAAGCAACGCAGAAAAAGGTCTTCCTTACCAATGCGACATCCAAACTGCTTATAAACACGTGGTGTGTGCTCACTCTTCGGTGGTCTACTCTTTTTGGTTTACCAGCCTCAGCTGGCAACTGTCCAATCGTGAGCTCACCCACTACCATTGATCAGTCATTTAAGCATTTAGTATTTCAAAGCTGTAACCTGCATTCGAACCTGAATAAAAGCTGCTGCTGAGTTGATCATTTTACACTTACAACCATAGATAACGTTGTTTATCTTCACCATCATCGGTCAGCTTAGCATCTTCTATCTCCCCACTCAATCGCAAGCCTTTTTTTCGCGCTTATCAAGTTGAAACGCTCTAATTCAGGTACCTTATTGTTTGTGATTTTCCCGTCAATTCATTCTGATTTGCACTCTATACCATTCTGCTAGCATTTCTTGCTGACGTTCCATTGTCGTTGCGTTTGGTACTTCACTTTTTCCTAAGTCCTCTTAATATCGCCTAGGATAAGATCTTTTTGAGTATGTACACTAAGGTATACGGAGGGCTGAACAAGTACCAATATCGTCGATATGGGCTACGAATTGTGTCCTTGTCTTGGGGATTGTTTATTGAAGAATTTAAAGATTTTGTGTAGAGTTACGAATGATTAAGGCAATTGCCATTTATCAGAAATTGAACGATTGATTTGAACCTCATCCTCCACTCGCTACTGTATCAGACATTCGGGATGCTCATTTACGAGGAAGCGTATGTGATTCCCCTCTACAAGCACTATGCCAACCAAGAACTGAGGGTTTGTTGGGGAACCGCTCTTTTACGTCGCATCGAGGAGTTGTAAACCTTCATGCTATAATCCATCCAGTTATGAGATCGTGTGAGCGAGTGCGTCCTCTATTACCCATTTTCAGTGATGTTGCTCCAATGCACACTTAGCTTCACGCCTCAGTCTTTAGGTATTTTCTCCTTGCTATTTTCATCCGGAACCCCGTTTCAGTCATGAAGCAGTTTTTTCCTTGTCATGCATGCCCTCTGAAGCCTGCTAGCTTGAGTGGATTGTGTCACCTTTTACAATGCGTGGCCAAGATAAGCAAAGTGACTAAACTACAAACCTGAGTTCCATCAAACCTGTTGGAATTCCCACTTTCTCAGGTTGGTGGCTGATGCTCTTCGCTGAAAATTGCATAGGAACTCACGTGATCAAAAAGGTACATGGAACGTTTGTAACGAAATCTTTCTAGCTCCCGACTTTTTTGCGCTGGATTACATCAAGAATGACTTAAGCTAGCATTTGACTGGACACATTCTGAGAGACGAAGCTACTAGATTTGCTTCACTTCCCTTATTTGCATTTCTCTCATTTCCGTTTTCAAAGGGGTACCACAGAAGAAGAAATGGAAGCCATTGTACGCATCATTGGACAGGGAGCAGAGTATTATCACTCTCACTGACGGGGACAAACGCAAGCCCGAGCGAATTGATCTCTCGCGTTGTGATTTCTTTCCTGTCCATTCGCTCCTATTTGAGTGAGTATCTATGGGATACTTTTATTTGCACATTTCATAGATGGACGGGTAGTTAGGGTGGAACAGCGATCGCAATGCTACAAACAGTGCAAATGGTAGGCTCCGTCATCATGTTTTTTTTACGTACTTGCTGTGATCAAGTCACCCAAATTGATGTCATCTGACAACAGGAGCCGCAACGTACAAGGATCGCAGTAAAATTAAGCAAAACGTCTAAAAAAAAAGAATGGGACTCTGAGGCAGCCTCGCACAGCGAATATAACTAATTAAAAGAGTCCGTGTGGTCATAATGGAATTGTTTTCAAATTTACTTTTTTTCCGGGGTTCTACAGAAGTATCGTCCACTCTAATTTAATATTATAGTGGTGGTATAAGGAATGAGCGCTCCTCTTAAGTCACATTGATCGAAATAGCATTTCCCACTATTTTAGCAAACAACACTGTTTCGGCCTCCTTCTCTCTTCCACGGGCGAACGCGAGGACTATGTGTTTGCGGTAGAGCCGCCTTACTCCTATAACAGTCCTCAAGCGGCTACTTCTGGAGGCGTTGGAGTTTCATCGAGCGGTACTTCCGCCTCCACTTCTACTCCATCGACCTCCATGAGACTTCAGCACAGTATAGGCGGTGCGTCTGCGTCCAACGCTGCTACCTCATCTGTTAACAACAACAATAGCAGCATTGCCACCAACAACAGCACTGGTAGTAACAGTGGTAATGGCAACAATGGAGGTTCTTCTGCTGGTGCTGCTGCCTCGGACTTGGACCCTCAAGCCTACGCAGGCCGGTCGGATACCTCGAGCAGTGTGGATCTTGTCGCAGGTGAGTTTTGGGCCCTCAATTAATTTATTGTTTGATTCGTCCTATGTGACACCTAAATTCATCGAATTCGATTAATTGCATCCACTTATGCATGGATTTACCATTGTAATCGTTTATTTCCTGTTGCCTCATTTTGTTAAGACAATTGAGGTAGTCTTTTATTGTTTTTGGGACCTCTCCATGACTGCCGTTGAGGTCACTAGGTGCGGGAGCCACTGAATTCGTAGGCAAATAGGTTGGATACTGATGGAATATGCGTCTAAACAATTAATTATATAGAGATTTCCCCCCTCCTCCCGAGACAGTCTAAAAATGTCAAATTTCTTTGTCAAATTGATGAGCATTTTATGGACTTGGTGATAGCTTGACTTCTACTTATCAGTTCATTCTCGTTACTAGTATTTTCAGCATTCTTTTTTTCGTCTCGCCTTGTGATTGTAGTGCTTTCTTCTCGACTCAACATTACGTATCGCTATTCTTTTGTTAGCTCCTTAGTCTATGACTAGTTCGATTCAGGAGTGTTGCCTCGCCTCCAGTTCACAACCAAATTTTGTCACCGCGCTCCATGCGAAGCGTAAGTATTGAGGCTCACTGACCGTCTCTTCCTCACTTTGTTATGTGTATTTAAAGGGAATAAAGAGTTGGTCCATAATCCCCAAAACGCATTCCGCTGCCAGTTACTAGCTCTGCCTCGCAGCTCTTCACCTCCATGAAGTGTCTGAAAGACTGTTGGTTTTGTTAACACGGGTGTAGGCCTCAAGCATTCTTGCCTAGCCAAATTCATATTAAAACGAATCACTTTAAGCCACACCCCCATGCTTCACTGCCTTGTTAATTAAACCCAATTAAATATCGCACCCAAACCTCCCCCTTTTCTCCAAATAGAGCTGCTGAAGCCCCTAATCTCGATGCGAGATGGAGTGCACACCCTTAATACCTTGACAAGGCCAGAACGCGAACTAAAACCTTGCATATGCGTGAGACTTGCTTTTGTTGGAGCACTTCCTCGTGATCACTTGACGATTTTTTACTGCCTGTTTTTGTACACAATTTTGCACTTTGGTTGTGAAGATAAATGCTGATGGTCTCTCGAGGTCACACTTTGTCCTCATCATTATTAATCTACCGTACGTTGTGTCTCTAAGAGGCATTTGATTGGTATTTCGTTAGTCGCATTCTTTATTTTGCTTAGTATTACATGGTGTTGAGCAACGAAATGTTTAAATTTAACGTTTATTTTCGTTTATTGGTCCAGCATGTTTGCTACCTTTTGGACGTCTTATTGCGATTCCTTTTTTGCTCTGTGAGCTTGATTTTTATGAAGCGAAATATCAGGAATCTCTTTCAAAAGATGTCAATTCTCGGAATACTTACTGTTGAGTTTTATGGTTTCTGTCCTTATCAATCGCTTTGTCCCTAAAAGCCTAGCTGACTTCTACTCCAATCATATTCATTTCTATACTCTAGTTCCTCAGGAGAGGGAGTGATAGTTCTCATTAAGCGAAAACATAGAGAATGTGAGGAAACGAGACTTGGCTTTGACCTTTTTTGCTTTCACGCCTTTGAGACGTCTTAGCCGTAAGCGGTGTTTGCATTTCAGTACACGTAATCCTTTGAAACCGAAGCTGGGTTCACTTTAAAGGTTTAATGGCTGACTGAGTACATCATTTGATAATACCAAACCACAAGAGCTCGCTCCGAAGATTTTAGTGCGTCTGTTGGCAGGCATTTCTCCCCCCAATGGGAAGTAAAATTGCGAATTGTCTCTCACATCTTAAAGTCTGCTACACCCCTCTATCACCGACTTCTACGCAGCAAAACTAACGACTGCTAACATAGACAGGATGATATCATAATCCTTATTTTTATTAACGCTACAGTGGTCGATGAATTCGGATTTCCATGTGGAGGCAAGTGGAAAGTAACATGAAAGAGTTGCTGCACTGATGGGTAAATGTAGTGCCTTGCATTTTGTAACCACCCAAAAGGTAGGAAAGTGACTTCCTCGGCATACATTGAGAATCACCCACCTAGTAAGTCCAATAACTTTTATCCTTGGCTGGATTGTAAAGCAGATTTTTTGAAGGTGGATCTATAGCTTGATTGAGGTTCAGTTGTGTAAGAAAATGTGTACGTTGTTTGGTGCCAGTAATCTCTTACGATCGGTGTGCTCCACTTTTACCAACAAATTATGCACCCATTGCGTGCATCTGATTAGTCAGCGTTGGCCTTTTTTTGCGACTTTTTTCATTTCCTGAGAATTTATCACCGCCAGTAAATGAATAGCCACGTCTCTTGTTACTTTTGTAGTTCAAGCAGGTTTTACAAATTGTCATGTTCCTAACTTCACCTGAACCGGAGTTGTTTTAAATGGGCTTTGATTAGGGGGATAGGGAAAGCCTATTTGTGTAGATAAAGGTGGTTGTTTTTCTCAATCAACTAATGCTTGAAGCATCCATTATAGTTATTTGTCTTATCTAAGCTTAGTGGCTGGCGGCTTTACCTTCCCACGCATCCTTCATTGAGCAGTTCAAATGTTGAGCTGTCTCTAATTTGAGTAGTAGAGTAAGCTCCAGAAATCAGAAACTCTAAATATGAACTAAGCATGAGCATTTATTACCCTCAAATAATCCCCTGTTGTGCCTGAGTGTCAAAGTAGGTTTCACTGCAGCTTGTTTGGTTTCTGTGAGTTTGAAGCCACAACTACGAACTTCCGATTTTATCCCTCACTAGTCACACGGCCAGCAGAGCCCGATACTATGAGTGGAATTTTTGAATACAATTAAAAACCTACACATAGGTGTTTGTTACAACTAAGATTGACATGAAATACATTGAATGCTCGTCGCTGTAGATTCCACTAGCTAGATTATCCAGGCCAAATAAAACCGACAATGCAAATACGCGCCTAAATATGCTCTTCTCCACTTCTGATTGTCTAGGTCTGCCAAGGTTTTGCGATTTCGGTGACGCTACCAGTTCCACGTGGTCGAAGATCCTCACCTCTGCAAGTGGGGGTGTTGGGGGTGGGGCAGGTGGAAGTGGCGGTGTCGGTGGAACCGCAGGCGGTCCTGCACCCATCGACTTAGCGTACATGCGGTGGTTGAAGGCCCTTGCTGTGCACTGTCGCAATACTCGTGCTGAGACGGCGGTTGATGCTGACCCCGAACGACGGCGAAGCGAGGTTCGATGCTTTAGGACTCTTGAAGTGAAGGTTTGTGATTCTTTCTTCCCTCTTTCTCTCGCATTATTTCTTCCCCTCGTTTATGTGTTTCTTTTCTGGCGATCTTCCAGTTGACAAATGCAAAGCTGTTGCCAATGCCACCATCGGGAAGACGTGAGGGTGGCGGAGTCTACTCCGTTACGGTGGACGGATTGGAGATCGCGCGGGCCTATAGTGGGGCCACTAATCAGACAATCACTTTTGAGTGCGTTCAAAGTAATGCGATGCTTAAGACTGAAACCGTATCACATAATCGGCTTCTCTAACTGGTTCAAGTCCACTGCATTATCAGTTATACAACCAGCGTCCTAGTTGGATCAAGAATGTTCGGGTTTTACAGTAATTCTTGTATTACAGTCATTTATTTTTTTGTCACCGCAGCGATGGGAGGAGGAACCAGCACCTGTACCTGCGCGTCAAACTGATACTTCGACCTGGGAGTCGGTTGCCGTTTGTGTGAAATGCAGATGACTCAATACTCTGCCGTGTTTGAGGTGGTGTGGGTACACATTTAAATGTGCTGATGAGGGCGAATTTCTAAAACGAGTCGTATAAATGGTGACCGAACTCTCCATATTTTTGGATCCTAACAACCTCGTGAACTCAATAACATGAGTGTCCAAATCACCTAAACTAGCTATAGTTCAAATGGCCTTCCATCCGGTGTCATCATAGTTAATTAAAGCACCAGTATGTGCCCATAAAGTGCATTCATGTGATTTGCATTAGTACATTACTGGTCATCATTGCGTCAGAACACTGTCACGCAACTGCAAAGTTTGCCTATTCACACTACCCGTTCATTTGGCCCAATGGAAGTGTCTTCATGGGCATTGATAGTGATTGCTTGTACTTCCTCTGCATATCTGTAATGCCTCCCACCTCCCTTTGCCCTCTTCAAGCCTCCGTATAAGTTCTGGCCTTGTGGTAATAATCAAGGTTGTCGCGCTGCGCTGCATTGCCTCGCGTTGTGCTACGTTTCATGGACGAGAGCAGTGCTGCATCGTTACACTATTCACATTTTCGACGACTGACGGATTTTGTTACATTTTTACTTCTTCATTCCGATGTGAGGAGAGAGTTGCACACATTTTTTTCCACGGTCTGAAGTAAGGAGAAATAACCTGATCCCGTGTTTTCTATTGTCTCTCCAATGCGGTTTTTGTCTTATGTCAGGGTTGCTTCTTGTATTTGCGGGCAGATGTAGGTGTCTAGATATCTTTGCTGGGCAGATCATAAGTTAATTTGGAGATATTTGTGACTCCCTTGTGGTGTCTAATGATTGAACGCTGACTACTCGAATCGCATGATGCGTCAAGCCTCGCCACAAGGAGGACCTCCAAGTCGCCCGTTTTTGTGTTTCACTATAGCACTAAGTTCATGTTGCAGGCAACAAAAGTCTAACACTAGCGGGTACTCCTAGTCATCAAATACTTGGAGACGAAGAATTCCATTTGTTGAGCAAATTGCCAGGAAACTCGGTTGATTTTGCGTCTCATTATTAAGCCAGGCCTTGACGCTACCTATCGTGCTTAGTCTTAACTTCCACCAAGCATGGATATGGACGTTTTAAAACGTTTGTCTTTCCACTTAGAAACTTCCATTTACTTTCTCCTTTAATTGGTCTTAAGCAGCTGGAAGCATGTTCTTTTTTTCCACTCAGTGCAGGCAACTTCGAGTGTTCAAGAGCGGTTGTTTCTTTTTTTAGAGAATTCCCCCACGGATACAAAAAAGTCGAGGTGACTTACCGCGAGGATAAAAAAAAACGGCAACGTAAGTATCTCAGCCCTTCCAGGTTAAGATATAAGAATAAAGTTATTAATTTTCACTCTTCAATTTCTCACCTACTCGACCTTTGTTTCTCCCCAATCTATCCTACGCGTCAAAAAGGCTTTGTTTTCCTTTTCCAAGTAGAGGGGTGAACTCGGTCACGGCTAACACTTCAATGGATTTTTGTTTCATGTTGAAGGTCTGTTCTTTTTGTGCTGTCATGCAGGTAGGCGTTGCTATTGCTAATACTCCCTTCTGCACACATCTCTGCAAACTGAGAAAAGGGTTACCACGAAGCTCTGATGAAGTATATTTTGCGGTTTAAAATTCTCTTCCTCACCTCACTCGTAGATCAACCTCTTTGCTTAAAGCCTTCGACTTGTGAGTTTTTTCCCCTTTCTCTGTGAGAAAAGCTATTTTTCATAGCTATGCCGCAACCCTTTGAAAATTCTGTGATCTAAAAATGAAGCTCTGGAAAACGTTTCATTTTCCACCTAGAGTGAAGGTCGCTGTGAAGTGGTTTTCTGAACTATGTGGTAGAGCGCTCAGTTTTGTGCTCTGATGTTATTTGTGCCATGCTTGGGCCAGCAATTTAACGAACTTCTGTGAGTACCGCTTGTCTTGTAGGCAACTTTCACAAGGATGTGTTACAGTCAGGGAGGTTCCTGGGCCACCAATTCTGACATTTCTAGTTCGTGGCATTGTAGTTCTGTGACGTCGAGGCAAGAGAAGTTCGTCTTTACTTGGTTCCGGTTCAAACATTTGGATTTATACCTCATTGCACAATTCTGAAGTAGGCTTGATGCTGAAGCATCGTGAATCCCGCTGAAACCCTTTACCGAAATCGGATCGGTCATCTATCACCTATAACAACCTTTTTTGGACATTCATTAGGCACGCATTCCTGCCTTCTTATTGGCAATTTGAATCTCGTTCACCAGTCACAGTCGCATTTACCGAGTTTGTATTTCCAAAATGCCATAATTTTCATGTAAAATTTGCAAAATTAATCCAATTCTTTCCCCATAAAACTGGTCCACTTACGATCCTACTGTAAGCAGCCTCGATTCCGATCGCTGATTACTAGGGAAGGAGCTTAACGTATTCCAATCTCTATCCATTTTCAACTTTTGCGTCTAGCGGTGGTGTTGGCTGAACTGCAGCTGATGTCTCGAAGACACAGCGCTTTGGTGAACAGCACCGGCGCTATTTCCCAACCCTTCCCACTGGGCAGTTCATCTGGTCTCGAGGTGGCTCTTATGCCAGGGCGGAGTCGGACCACCGTCTCTAATCCATCGGAGGGTCCGGGGCAGTCCTTTCCATGTCAGCCACCAACTTCACAACAGCAGCAGCAGGTGACTCTGTCCTCCATGCCCACACCGATATGCTGCTTTCAGGAGTCTGTCTCACCACAGGCAACACTCATCTACAGGGAGCTCTACGTTCTTCCTTTTCAATGTTATGACAAACTAAGGAAGGTTAGCTAATCCTCATTTATGATTGCTTTTGGATCAAGTCTGGAACAACATCCCTTCGTAAAAGTGTATGTTCGGACATAAAATGATGACCGTTCGTATTTGTTCGCATCCCGGGGGTCGGTTTATGGCATCTCATTCGGCGCACGAACACTGAGGTGTACTTTAAGTGGACCAAAGGTGACCCACAGAATGTGGCTTTTGCTTTGGACGAATAACCTGGCATTTGGGTTTCCTCGAATTCTGGCAGCTTACTATTGCTGCTAGTGTGGGCACTCCCATGGTCTCAATGGGAGGTGTTGCAGAATCTACCAAACCTGTGCGGATCGCTGTGTACTTTTGCATAAATTAGGAACAATTCCATTGTTTTGCGGTTTTCGCTGGTTCATATAGAAGTTCGTACTTCTCTTTCTGCGCGTGGACTTTTCGATCTCAATGTCTTCAACGGCATTATTTTTTATTATGCCATGGGGATAAAAAGGCACACAAAAGGGTCATTTTGAGGTAACTGGAGCAGAGAGCTTGGATGTCATGGCTTTTAATTTAGTTAACTCCTATTGAAAAACCGGTCGCAGTAGATCTTCAATGGATGACTAGGTAATAGCTGGTGGACGGTACTAATAAGAACTAGAGGACTGGAAATGGCCTAAATAGAAGGCTGTTTCGGGTTCTGCTTTCATTAAACGCTTTGTCCGTGGGAGGACGATGAACATCAAGTAGGAAAACCAAACGTTCTCCAAAAATGGGTTGTATAATAGGGAGCTTTGCATGCCGTTGGTGAATTATGGGATCTTTCTTGGGACTTCGCAAATGGTTTCCGTTGGCAGGTTTGTTGCAAGAGATTGCTAAGTGGGAGCCATTTCCTAAACAACTCCCCTCGGTTATGCGTGCCCCAGTGTAGATGATTCGGCGCAATGAATTGCTAGCTACGATCTGCGTTTTGATGAATAAGTTAATAGTTGTTACAGACCAATCGCTGGAGAAGATATGGATCTTTAGTAAATGTACTTCCCCACCCCTTCTCCTGCTTTATTAACTCTACAAGAGTATCTTGCCCACCTCTTGAAGTCTGTGTAATTCCAGCTTTGGTACCATATGCCTTTTCTCACTCGCTGACCCGTTGCACTACTACACTTGGGTCGTTTTCTTTACCCGTTAGAATCCTAACACAAATGACCTCAGTCATGATCTTTTATTTTTACCAAATGTGGCTATGTTCATGTCAACCCAATTCCAAGGTACCTGTCACCTCCAGGTATATCTTGATACCGTGTAACGTCCTGATGTTTGGTCAGAGCCTATGAATTGCGTCAAATAAGTGCAAAGTCTCGGTCAAAATGTCCTCCAAATTCTATTTTAAAGACTTATTGCTTAGCTACGGGGGTATCGAGAAGTTCTGAATGGGGTCTTAAAGTGGAAGTGCATAAGCTGTAACACGGGAGACTTCACCTTTCTTGGTTGCATGCGTAATTCAAACAAATGTCGTTCGGATACGGTGTGTAGGAGTACAATGAAATAACTTAATCACATACCTTTTATCCTTGCGTGCATTCGCAATGTACCCTAATAGAAATCTATCACTCATCCTTTTGTTTACGAGATGTCATCCGTATAACCACAGTGATCTTCCTCCCAAGAGGAGCAAACTGAGCCTCGTCTTGGCGCCACAATTGATAGTTTTATTTAAGACAATGAGTTGATATTGAAAAGGTGGGCGATCCTTCATGCCGTTTTCCTCCTTAAATCGTTTATTCATCCTTACTAGGTTATCACCTCACATCTGGAGACAGAACTTGTCCCAGCCTGTACGTATATGTGGGATGTTTTGGCTAGTGACCAGGGCAACTTCCAATCAAGCCTTCTATTAGCCTGCATTGAATCAAAGCGCCACTTGGAGTTAATTGTCAATCTCCTTAAGGCAGTCATCCCCGCCGATAATCCGGGTATGCCTCCATCCGAACCTTTGCCAGATAAATGATGCTGAATATGCTAATCTTTTATTCTACGCCTCTCGTAGCCGGTGCCTTCCGGTCGAATGCTCTGGGGCAGTTGATTATGGATCAGTACATGAACATGGTTTGTTCTGAGTGGCGACAAAAGTGCTTTCGTCGCGTCTTCAATGAGATCGCAAAGGGGGCGCCTAGTGCTGCTGGAGGCGCCGGCACGACCACTGCCTCGGCCATCTTGCCAACAGCTGTCACCTCCACCGGGGCCTCCAGTGCCGGCACCACCTCACGAGTCGTCAGATTCTCTTCAGGCGGAGAAAAATCGGTCTTAGAAGTTGAGGCCTCTTCTTCATCAGGGTCTGGCTCTTGCAATACGCCTTTTGGCAGTGGCGGCAGTACGTTTTCTCTATCAAGCTGTTGAGAGTTGCCCTCAAAAGACACCTTTTAGTATAATTAATGATTTGCGATTGGTGTATATGTTACCGATTGGTAAGCATTCAACTGACTTTGATGAATATGGATTCCTTTTGGGGTATTTTTTTCGTATCAGTTATAACAACTGAGCATTAATACTTCGTTGCTTGACTTTATTCGGCGTTTTAAGTCCTTTAAATGCACTACCACTCCATTCTGTCGTTTTCTGTCAGTAACCTGATTTAAAATCATAGAAGTTAATTATGCCAATTGCTCTGAATGCATTTCTGAAAACGGAATGCTTCCTTTCAGCTAAAATGCCATAACGGCTGGAATCTTCCCTTTTCAAGTGTTTTAGTCGTCCTTTCACTTTGTACTGAGCTACTTTTATTCCCGAGGCCCTATTTGCTAGGATCCATAAACGTGTCACTGGGCAGGTAACTGCGAGAATAGATTTAAGCTATGCATATGTAATATCAGATTGCTCCCTGGTGATGCGCCCATCGCCATTGCACAGAGGTGGAGAAGTTGGTTTTTATCCCGCGCATAAACGCATAACTGAATACAGTTGCTGGTTTTCAGTCCCTGAAATGCGATAGTTGTTGCTCATTTGCATACGCAAACATTATTTTCTGAAACGGAAATTTGGTATTACAGGCTTAGATGTGTCAATGATTTTCATAACTACATCATCTGCCTTCTTCGGTCTTCGCGCCTCTCTCACCTCACCCACGTTGAGTTGATGGGTCATTTCTCTGTGTACCACACGCCTACTCAGTGGGTGGTGTTTGATTCCCATCGGAGAGCGATTAGTGTTAGGAATCAGAGTCTCGTCACTTCGTCCTCGAATAACTTGTACCTTCCTCGTTCATCACTTCATATCGCATCTCCCTTATGGTACCCTAATGGTACCTATTTGAAAACCACGTGAAAGGGCGGTTGCAGGGTAGATTCCAAATCATCATGCGGGTATTGACAAGTCTTTGTTCTTCGAGGAGCACACAGGTCTGGTGGTGAAATTTTCCGTGTCTCCTTCCCTGCGCACTTTCCGGCGTTACATTTGTGTTTCTACAATCCCTGCTAGGGTCATATGTGGAGGTTTCTAACTATTTGAGGGCGCCGACGCGATCAGACATCCATCTTCCACCTATGATAAATCAGGGTGGAAATAAAAATACGGCGAATTTTGGGTGGAGAATTAGAGCCTTTGCTGGTTATTTGTTTGTTTGTGCTAAATGTGGATAAGTGGCTGGCTAGCAAATCCTCCCTACTGTTGGCTGGTATTTGGGCAAGAAAAGGGCAGTTAATTGACTCTGTATGGCCGCGGCTACTGAGACTAGCGCGAGCGTTTTTACCATCGGGAGGTTTTTCATGCACGCATACCTTAACATGTTCTTTCGTAAACATGAAAACACGCTTTATTGGTGATTCGAAACTAGAGCCTTCACTCTTACTGTTCTTTGCTCAATGATTGTATAGTTTGCTATAGGTATTTGATTTCTTAGAGCTGCTTCTAAGATTGCTATAGGACATGTCAAGCTCCATGGCAGCGTGCTGGGAGTCATTTGCATCCCTACTTACGGTTACATTAGTCATTAATTGTCCCAAATGTCATGAAATTGGAAGCTTTGAACATGTTTAAACGTCATTGCCCGTGGTTGTAGCGGTAATTCATTAAGAAAAGATCGACCTCAATGAGGTCTCACAACTTTGATGGGAGTCCATCTTTAACACTTTCACACGCGTATCGGCGTCGCGTATGTGTGATACTTTGGTGTCCCTATCGGACACCTCATCACATTATTCCACATAGCTTCTTTTCTGATTTGCGCTAGGAAGGAACAGTAACAGCGAAACATTCTTGAGTCTATTTATTCCATTCATCGACACATCTCGCCAACGAAATCAGCTCAATATTTTATGATGCCAGAATTTGTCCTCACAACCATCATTCAGCGAATGCCTCACACATAATTCGCAGTGTCGGACTGTAAAAGATCGGGGTTCTTTATTTTTCGTTTTTCAGCTGAGTTTATCAGAAAGCAGCAGGAGCCGATTCACTACTACCTTCTATATACGCAAACACACACACACACACCGAAAAAATTCAACATTCGGCTCTCAAAGGTCTCAGTCTTCCCACAATTTCACATGATCTCAGCACCGGTTATTTCTCGTGTTTTGTGTGCATAGCGGTAACTGGCATCAATTTCGTACCATCTATCCAGTCTATTCCCCTCCTCCCCCGTCGGATCCCCTTTTTTCTCATACGATTAATCTAAGCTTACGAAAGTAATTTATCTTAGGCTCCGAGCTGCATCGTGTTTCAACTTGCCCCCCACAACACCACAGAGATTCGTCTCCGGTGGCATCACACAGTTTCTCCCAAACTGGCTCCCGTGTTGACGTCTGTTCCACTCAAGCTGAGTGGTACTGCAGTCTGGTCGAATTGCTTGTGGAAGACTTGCTTGAGTACGCTAAAGAATTTCCCCTTCAAATCCGCTGGATCTATTCCGAGTTGCAGGTAAGTGTCTACAACGGCATCTTATACTCTCTTCATCAGAAATGCCCCGAACTTAAGTCAACGAACGCGGTTTGGTGTAACCTCCTTTTCCTTCGCGGTATCTGTCCGTCCATTTGTAAGGGTTCAGAAGGTTTAGCAGCTGAGTCCCCGGTCCGAGATACAAAGGCAAGTGTCTTCCCACTCTTTTCCGCGTTACTTCCTCCTCTTTGCTTATCGCCACCCGCCTTCCCATTTTAGACCCTCACAACGGTTGCTAAAAACCTCATTGCTCTAACTAGTCAGAAACGCAGTGATAATGCTCTTCCCTCTGAGATCTTCGAATCTTGCCGATCGAATTTACTCAATAAATTCGCTCCGCACGTCTTGGTAAGTTCTCTGTCCCAATTTCCCTTGCCGGAGAAAAGTACCTACACACGCGGGCAGGGAGGCGGGGAGAGAGTTTGCACGATCATATTTTTCCACATATCTGATGGTTTGAGGCAAGGTGGATGCAAAATAAAGTACGAGAACGATGTCCGTTCCTCTTGCATGGTCACGCTCAATACACTTTTGTAATTGCAGTTTTTAATGGTCTTGGTCATCCAGTTCTCGTTTATAACAGATAAAAGGCTATGCCTAGCTACAGTGCTTTTCTACTTTTCTCCACCTCTTTCGCCCGGAAGTGTACTATGTTACTATCGTTTGGCTGGAGTTTAAAAGCAGCTGGGCCTAGCTTGGACGCCAACTTTCGTTAGCAAATTTGACTCTTCGTTTTACTTAACCTCTGAGAGGCTTGGGGTGTGCGATTTATTTACAAGTGGTCACGTTGGGAATGGTAATACTCTGAAAGATCCATCTTCCATACGCCATTCGTTTTCCGCAGGAGTGCTCCACGCTCCTTTGCACTGATTACCACCCTCCTTCTTTTGCTGCAGTGCAGTTCAGGAGGGCGTAAACCCTCCCACCGTGTTTGCTGTAATTCGCCAAAATGCGCATACCATCGTACTATCCACGCAATTTTTGATGCTCTCTCTCCCTTGCCTCCTCCTTCAAATACACACTCATCACAAGCTGTAAAGTGAGTGAGCCAAACATAACTATGGTGCCTGCATATATTCACCTCGGTTCGTATGTTTGGATGTGACATGCCGCGCCCAAGAAAGTCACCAATTCTGAATGCAACTAAGTAAAGATGGCGCCGTAACATTCACGTCGACCGTGCTGAGGAAGTTGGGGTGACTAAGACACTAAGCCAGAAACAGTCGATTGTGTTTAAAGAACTGTCGGGTTGCAGGTTGGGAGGACGACTGTTTATTGAAGGCCTTAAGGTCGAGGTGCTTGTCACTATTTTCATATTGTTCATCCACTTCCCGAACCACAGAACTACAGTGCGTAACAAACCTGCGTTATGGGTACGTTTTTATTCTGAAGGCGAAGCTATAATTGTGATAACTTAAAGAAGTTAATAAAAACTTGTCCTTGGGAAGCGTATAAAAGGGGACGAGGATAGGGCAAAGTGGCATGAGGCGGAATGTAATGTAACGCAGAGCAATTTTGTCCATTCTCATCTTTATCTTTGTTTTAATTTCTTCCTCTCTAAAGCTATTTCCCTTAGTCGCAAACATTGTTCACCGAAAGGACTCGATGTTGGTTGTAGTAGAGGATTACTTACTTCTAATCAAAGGCCTTGGATGTCTTTTGGTTTATTTTGCAGCTCGTTTGTTCGTTTGGACAAGTTGAAGGAGAGAACTACGTACTGGTAGTGGTAATGTGGCAACAACTGGTGCGATTGTGCCACCTTCTCATAAGTTACAATTCGATTGAGAACAGGATCCTAAGCAAAAATTAAGGGCTAGAATGGGGTCATGGATACAGAACTTCAGTTCGTGTTCAGGAAAGCACGGCTTTTCACCATCCACACCTTAACAAATGAACTATGTGCCTAAAGGGACGTGCACATAGGCCACCCAGCTACACAAAGCCGAAGAGTGTAGATATAAAACTTAGAGCTTGCCGCTGTCGTGATGTCACTGCCGCATGGCAGAGGGAAGGGACCATTCAACCCAAGACAGCATTTCACCTCCACAATTTGATATCATCAAGGCGGCGCCAGTGCCATTAGCCCTCCGTCATGTGTGGCTTTCGGTGTTGTCTTGAGTGTCAAGTTAGGTGGTAGTGCATTGAGCTGAGGTGCTGCGCCCCTTCACGAAGGTGTCAACCCGATGTGAATGCGCAAATTGCCTCTTCTCAACTAGTAATGAGAAGACTTGCTTGATGTCGAGAGATGGCAACTGCAGCCACCACCACCACCACCACTACTATGACCGATTTTCAACATCACACTTAGTCCTCGAGATGCTTGCCACACCGGTTGGTAATTGGGACACTCCTGCAAGCCTCCATTGTTGTTGGCATGATGTGCGAGACGGAGGGAAAGGTGGTGTGACAGTAGGTTGGTAGGTGGGTAGGTAGGTAGGTAGGAGGGTAGGACTGCCTCGTTCCTGCTGCAAAAGTAGGTGAGTGTAGGTTGGGATGACACTGTGTTGGAGCAGAGAGTCGGAGAAAGTGGCAGGTGGGGATGGTGGTGGTGGCGGTGGCGGTGGCGATGAGTGTAGGTGCAGGCTGGACCACGGCTGTTGTGTGGGGAGGGCAGTGTTGTAACGTCTTGTGTCATGTGAAATGGGAGGGGGATGTGCGTAAGGCAGAGGTGTCTTCTTCTCTCAAATCGCACACGATTGCAGTCGCCTATTGCATTTGCAAGTGAGCGCAGTTGTCTGTCTGTCGCTGCTATGATATTGTAGTACTGTTCCTTCACTACCTCATTTCTACGTGCGTATTGAAAACAGTCGCCTTTACTGCTGCTGCTGCTGCCGCTGCTAACGATAGTGATGATGCGAGTGGTGTCAGTGGCGATGGCGGTGGTGTCTTTACTGTAGACAGACATGAGGCAGGATGGTGTTGGCTGGAGTGGAGACGTTGCCAAGAGCCACTGCGAAATGACTGAAGTGAATGAGAGTCTCCATCACCTCGCGACAGAAGCGGTTCAACGGCAAGACTACTATGGTGTGTCAATGAGGGTAGTAGTAGTAGTGGTGGTAGTAGTAGTTGGACATCTCCGTCACAAATGTGGAGTAGATGGAGGTGGTGGAGGTGGAAGAGGACGAGGAGGATGGAGGGGGGGGGTATTTGAGATGGTGAGGGTTGTTGCGATATGGAAGATGTGTGCCACCCTAGAGGTGACAAGGCGGTATGGTCAATGACAATTGGCATGACAACAAGCAGCGTTCTGTTTGACTTCCCATCTGTCAGCCTAGTGCATGCTATTTATAGTCGCATGGATGGAGTAGTCGGGTGTGGGTTGAATAAAACAGTGGCGGAGTGTCCTCCTTTTCGTTCAGTTGTGATGTAAGGAGGGTGGGGAGATGTGTTGGTTGGTGGACTGTTGAATTTCTACTTGGACTTTCATACGACACACATCCACTCAT